ATGCAGAGCTTGATCTTGCCCTTGGTCGGCAGGGCTAACAACACGAGCAACAATATCGATACCGTGAGGGACACCGCCATCGATACGTTGACGGAGATTGTCGCCAAGAAAATGGGACCGAGCCACAAGATGGAGCTGATTTCGTTCTTGAACCTCGGTGGCATCATCACAGAGCTTCTTGCGAGTCAAGGGTTGAACGAGTTCAAGGGCACCTCTCGTTACGACAATGACCTCGCAGAAGTCGTTGCGAAGCTCCTTAACACCATCATGACGGATGTAGTACGGGTTCTGGAGGACAACAAAGTCGACGCCGAGACCCGAGCAAAGGCCGAACGTCACCTTCAGGATTTCTTGCCGGCCCTTCTCCGTCTTTTCTCAGATGAATTTGACGAAGTGTGCTCGACGGTTATTCCCTCGCTTACTGACCTTCTAACGTTCCTTCGCAGGGTGGGGACACTGCCTGATAGCTATTCTCACATGCTTCGCCCAATTCTTAGTGCCATCGTTGCTAAGATGAGATATGACGAGACTTCTTCCTGGGGCACCGAGGACGCAGAGAGCGATGAGGCCGAGTTTCAGGAGCTCCGCAAAAGGTTACAGATCCTTCAGAAGAGCGTGGCTGCCGTCGACCAAACTTTATATATCGAATTCTTGAGTAACCTTGTGGGCAACATGTTCGCAACGCTCGAGCAGCAAGGCCCACAAATGGACTGGAGGGATCTGGATTTGGCCCTCCATGAAATCTATCTGTTTGGCGAGCTTGCTCTGCCGAACGCCGGACTCGCCCACAAGAGCGAACCTAACGCTGTTGCCACCGAGCGTCTTGCTGTCATGATGAGCAAGATGGTTGAGTCTGGTAAGAAGTTTTATCGTTCCTTAAAGGTCTGCTGGGTTCCGAGCTAATAACTTCGATAGGCATCGCAAACTTCCCCCATCCAGCTATTCTTCTCCAGTACATGGAGATTTGCGTACGCTACCATGCCTTTTTCGAGTCGCACCACCAATACATCGCTCCCGTACTCGAAAACTTTGTTCACCTCATTCATCACGAGCACCCTAGGGTCAGGACCAGATCTTGGTATCTTTTCCTCCGGTTCGTGAAGCAGCTGAGAGCCCAAGTGGGCAACGTGGCGAAGACTGTTATTCAGTCGATCAGCGACCTTCTCCCTATCAAGGCTGAGGTGCCGAGCACTGAAGCAGAGGACGATATGTCCTCGGATGAGTCTGATCACTCCGCCGACGCCATTTTCAATGGCCAGCTCTACCTCTTCGAGGCTATCGGCTGCATCTCATCAACATCCACCACACCGGAGGCTGATCAGGCTCTCTACGCTCGCTCGGTTATGGAGCCCCTATTCACTGACATGAGTGTACACCTGCCCCGTGCAAAGTCTGGCGATGCACAGGCTATCCTTCAAATCCACCACATAATCATGGCCCTTGGTACCCTAGCCAACGGATTTGCCGATCCGAACCAGTCACAGAACCCCAACAACCAGCGTACGCCACCACAAGCCGTCTCTGCGGAGTTCTCCAGGGCGTCTGAGGCAATCCTGGTTGCTCTTAATGAGCTTAATACCAATGGGGAGATCCGTGCCGCATGCCGCTCCGCCTTTTCCCGTCTCCTTGGTGTGCTTGGGGCTACCATTCTCCCACAATTGCCCCAGTGGATCGAAGGACTCCTTTCTCAAAGTTCTAGTAAGGACGAGATGGCGTTCTTCCTTCGCCTACTGGAGCAAATCGTTTATAACTTCAAGAGTGAGATCTATAACATCCTCGACCTTCTCCTCACCCCGCTCCTCCAGCGTGTTTTCGCCGGTCTTTCTGAACCCATCAACGGAACCGATGACGAGATCCAGCTGCAGGAGCTGCGTCGCGAATATGTATCGTTCGTCCAGGTCATCCTGATCAACGAACTCGGCGGTGTCCTCGTGAGCACATCCAACCAGGGTGTCTTCGAGTCGCTCGTGAACTCCATCATGACCATTGCTAAGACCATTGTCCACGGTAACATCGTGGCCAGTCGCATTAGCTTCAATGTTCTTGCGCGGATGGCTCAACAGTGGGGTGGTCCTGACGTCGCTACCATCGGCGAGAACCCTACCGCCAACGGAGTCCCCGCGCCCGCTTTTCCCGGATTCGACCAGTTCATGCTCACCCAGTTCCACGCTGCGTGCTGGGAAGTCATGCAGGACATCAACTTCAGACCTTATGCCGATGCTCAGACACGGCAAATCCTGAACGAAATCACCGGTTTGGAGCAGACCATCTACCTCAAGACGGGCGAGAAGTTCATCAACCACTGCCAGACGGTTACTTTCCCGGCCGTTGGCATGGGTGCCGAGGACTTCTTGCGTGCGCTCACTAGCTCTACGGACCGCAAGGCCGTGATGGTTTACTTGCAGCAATTGCTCAAGAGCCGGCGATAGAGTCGCATGTGTCATGTGTCTGATGATCCAACGGGGGTGAAGATTTGAGTGTAAGATGATGGGTGATACTGAGAAGGAGGAGATATGGCTAGGAGACGAGGATACCAGAGGAGGTTGCGAATGGATAGAGGAGAATAAGATTGAGGGAACTCAATGTGGATGATAGACTGTGGAGGTAACCTTTGAGAATTTCGCATACATACATACCTACCTATATATTTACCCTCTCTGAAAAAGTTAAATCATCTTACAGGCGTCAAGTACAGGCAGGAGTCATACCCGTATAGCCGGTTTCCCATTTCAAGGTGTCTATGGCTTGGTTAGTTTTGCACATTGCTTGCATGATATAGAAAATAGACAACTTGTACCTTCAATAAAACCCAGTGATTTCCAAATATGGGGTTTGTAAGATACCCTCTTATGGCGGCGGGACACAATTAGCGAGCCATCTTATAGAGTCGCCGTTGCATTAAAGTCAAAGCATGTACATACCGTACTTATGATTTTGTCAAAGTCGGTTTACAGGTCAGTCCGGCAAGCAGGGTTATAGCTCGGCCGTTTGCTTCTACAGCCACCGACGTACATAAAGCCAAACTCAAGTGACAGACATTTAATCCTACAGGATCCGCACGAGTACTATGCCTGATCTGTAAGCCGAGTCCGACGAAATTATACAGTAGTGCTGTACTTAAAACCAAAACAGAACCTGGTGTGGACAGCGCAACTTCGCATCCGACGGGTCACTAAGAACACCCATTCGGCAGGAACCCTTCCATGACAAGTACACTGGTGAAATATCTGTTAGAAGGGGTAGTAGAGCGTTGAACTTTTACATACTTAAGCATGTGCCTCACTAACAGAGGTACATCTGCCCCTCTCCCCTCTCCCTCGCTCCTTCCTTACTGATCCATCGTCCAGTTTCCTCTACCTGACCCGGACACCCTGACGGACTCGCTACCCCACGCGCCCTCCCCACAGGTTCAAGAGGACGACAGACGCGACACAGTCATTGCCTTCAATACATCGTCCTCTTCCCGACCCTCACCCTCGCCCTCTCGATGAGGACCACGGCGCGACAATGGAGTGCCACACCCGTCGACCTGCTCAGAGTTAGTTATCTCATCGATGTGTCTAACCAAGCTTCATGGCGGGTGACATGACTGACTCGGTTTCGTCTCTTGTTGACGACGCAACTCGGATTACGGTACCTTTTGCGTGGGAACCGACGGCTGTCCCTGGGTTGTGTCGTCGTGTGGTACTTAGATCATGACTACCTACTGACCCAAGGTTTTGTTAACTTCTCCCCCCGCCACCTACACCATCCCATTCCCTCTCGGCCTGCGGTATGGTTCTGAAGTTGTGTATCCTTCCTGGATGCACGGGCGTTCCGTCTCTGTGCTGGCAGTATACTAAGAGTCCGTTATCCATCCGTCAGTCGAGAGCCAGAAAAACTTGCCAACTCCTATCTACTAGGTACGATTGCGTCCCTGTTGGATGGACTGGGGTTCTTTGATAGGGCCGCGGGCAGAGGAGCTGTCCACTACGGCAATCTTTCTGCTGTCTTGCCTCCCGGTGATGGAGCCGACCGACAGATACAGCGTCACGCGAGAGCGGCAGGACTGTCCCTTACAATCACAAATAGAACCAGCTACCATCATCTGTGTGTGTATGTTGTCATGGTAATAACGAGTTGACCTACAGTTCCTACCGCGATGATATTACGATTATACCTAATGCGAGCCACAAGCCAGGACTTTGCAAGATCGATCTATCTGGCCAACTCGGTGTGGTGGTTTGGGATGCGTGGTGCTAATAATCAAGCACGAGACACATCGACACTTCAGTTTGGAACAACGTGCTCTTTTCACCCTTCGCGGCCCTATTGCTATCAGGGACGACAACCCCAACAGTGTCCATCTTCAGCGGTTAGAAGTACAATCTAGTGCTGGTTTGTTTGTTAGCTTGGTACCTACTCCTGGTATACTGGACGAGATCTCTTCCGAATTGTCCCAAACCTTTTAAGGACTAGATAAATGGCTAGGTACGGACCCGAAAGGTATTAATAAGATTCAATACGGTGTATTTTATTTTGGAAAAAGCATATTCACAATCGAATTACACTTTGGTCGAAGAACGCAACGAATCACTCAGACATGAAAACGCCTAGGGAAGTTGACCAGAGGTCTCAAGCTAATAAACAAACCAGTATTGGACTGTACATTAGTCAAGACGCTGATGAAATGTTATTTATACTTTCACTCAACTTCCTATTTTTCCCAAACTTTCACAGAACGCGGTGCAGTGTTTAAACCGCTGGAGATCGGGCGGTTCAGACCGCAGCGAAAAGATACCTCCGGCACGGGCCACTTTTTACCACCTCCCAGAAACGTACCTTTTCCCTGGACCCGGGGCCCTTCCAACAAATCACATTCAACTTCCATTTTGCCAGAATACTTGAGGGCCCGGTCGAGACCGTATCTCCAATCAAGGTCCGCTGGCTCAATGGCAGAGCGTCTGACTACGAATCAGGAGGTTCCAGGTTCGACCCCTGGGTGGATCGATTTCTTTTTCCTATTTTTGCCTTTTTCTTTACTATGTTTGGGTACCCCCACCATTCACATGGATGCTTGCACGAGGGCTAGAACGACACTTCGTTATTCCGCTTTTCGCTCTTTCTTCGGATCATCAATATTCTTCCTCTTTTATGTTCCAGGGTTCTGCGGGGGTGGTTCCGACGGTGATAATACAAAGTCGTAATGTCCAGTCTGGTCATATCTGCGGAACCAATTGATGGTGTACATAGATTGCTGGTATCTTGGGTTTCGATCCCAATATCCCATGAAATCCGCAGTTGAGCTATCGTGAACGTTGATTTCACCATTGTTGTAGAATACCAGGTTCTATCAGCACAGAGGGGCGTTAGTAACTAGATCGAGAGCGCACAGGGAACTGAAGGTTCTTGGTGAGGGCAAGGGACGGCCCCAGTTAGATATCTTCAGTCAGTTCAATCTGTACTTACCCGCATGATGAGTGCAATACTCTCACTTGACAAATAGCCGTCATTGAATAGGTTCTGGGCCCATTGCCGCAGGTTTTGCTGAAGCTGATCACTCCCAGAAGGAAGGCCCTCATCCGTGCCAATGTACCATAGCTCGTCTTCTGGGCATACGAAGCCGTCTCTTTCAACCCGCGTATCCAAATTCCTATTACCTTGAACTCGCCACGCACCCCCATTTGTAAGGCCGGTGGATTCGTGGGCGTGGAAGACTTGGATGCTTTGCACACCGATATAAGTATGCCCGTTGGTTTCTCTCAGGTACGGGTAATTGTCAAAATCCGCGTTGATGTGGAAGTGAAACACGACCCATCTATCTGGCTCGCCATGGTTGAGCGTGTGCGTGTCTCGATACCGGTCGTACTGGCTCCCACTCGGTTGGCCAGGGTTCGGTCCGATCCAGTACGCCATCTCGAGCATGGGACCGGTCCGCTGCGCTCCGTCAATCCACTGCCACCGGGCGTAGTGTGGGCTTAGATCGCCGTTCAAGATGCCCTCGAGGATGACGCCCATGTCGGGCTGCCCGTTATTTCCCGCATCCATCCACCAGACGTACCGGCTAACCAGTTTGACAGCCGCGCTGGAAGACCGCAACTGGATGTCGCGCTTCCTCTGCGTGCCGACATGGTGACAAAATGCTTGCTCCGTTCGCTGATTTTGCCTTATGCCTGGGCCAGCGCGCAAGGGGTTGAGGAGGACATAGTTGATGAGTGAATGTGGGTCCAAAATATCTGAGTGCCTGTTGAAATACGCCCGTAGGTTGTCAGCCTCAAGAGCTGTGTCGTAGTGGCCGGCAAAAATATCGTTCCATACAAGCGAGAATTGCTTAAGCACAATTTCTGCCGCCGTGAGCATCAGCGCGGCAAACTGTGCGAGCCTTATGTAGTGATCGAGCTTACAGTCGGAAGCTCTTCCATAGAGGACGCGGTGCTCAGCAGCCTCCAACTCCAGAGAACGTTTCTGGTTCGCAGCTCCGGTGAACATGTCACCAGGATCGAAAAAAAGAACGGTGGCTGGACATGTTGGGTTTTGCATGTAATCTTCCAGCAGCGTCTGGAACTCCTTATTTTGCACGCCGCCATAGGGATCATCGTCGCCTCGCGGGACCAAGGCCGCTGGCGGCTTACAGCAATACGCCCAGGCCCCGCCGATGCAGCCACTGTTTGTCCCGGAATAGAGGCCAGTGACTTCGGTGGCCACCTTGATTCGGTCCGGACCACACACGTCTTCGCAAATATAGTCGTTGCCGGGAAACTTTGCCGGGTTCCCCTTTTTGACCCATTCGCAATTGGTAAAGTCGGCTGGTGTAGGGTTCTGGCAGCAGTAGTGCTTGTTCCCAGAAACACAAGGCTGCTCACCGCCGTCGGCGGTGTTGGTCGACACTATCTTGTTCGGGAAGTCACTCGGGCAGTCCTTATTGCAGGTTGGCGCCGACCCGACCCATTTGCATTTCCCGTACGAGGACGTAGACGCTACGTTTGTGCAACAGGCGCTTTGGTGCTGCGAACTGCATCCGACGCGAAGGGAACCGATTGAGACCTCACCACTGCTGCAACCAGGTTGGCAAGCTCCCGAATTCCTGTGTCCTCGCCATGTGCAGACGGGCAGGTCCTGGTCTGAGGGACAGCAGAACAAAGACATACCGTCGTCAAGACAGTTTTCTGTGCTCAACATGGCCTCCTTATGGCCATCACGCTGCACCGCCTTGAAACCGTCGGGACAGCCACTATAGCACCCTGACCAGCGGCATGTCTTGACGGGCTGTGGAAGATCGCGGACGGGTTGTTTTATAGTCAAGTTGGGCGCTGCCATCTGTTTGCGACCAACAGACGATGTCAGGGCTTTGATATTGGTACCGTCTTTATCGTCCTGGCTCATGGCCCAAACCATAACGCCTGGGATACATTGATCCCTGATGATGTTGGCCTTGAGACGCCATGTCGCAGCGTCATCAAAGGTTACCCACTGGTCGCCCCAAGATACACTCTTGACGGCTGCTTCGCGGTCAAGTATGGGTGTCAGTTTACGGGCGCGGATCTCATCCTGGATCTCGGCGTGAAGAAGCACACCGGTCGTGCCAGAGCACTTGCCAGCATTACCTCCGGAACTGATTGCGCACCCAGGTGTATTACAGCTTTGGCTGGTCAGAGCAAAGCTACGGCTGTAAAAGGCCATGCCAAACGTGACTTTGGCAGGCTTGATGTTGTTGCGCCACAAAAGATCAAGTGCTTGTTGAATCTCAGTCATGTTGGTGTGTGAGTTGGCAAACGGACCGGTCCACTTGCTGTCGATGTCCCAAGAGCCATGCATATCGTATGTCATGATGTTGAACCAGTCCACATACTTTTCAAGGTTGACAATGTCAAAGTGTTGTAGGTACCAGTAGCTGGCAGGGAGAGTCAATGAAACCTGCTTCTTCAAGCCGCCGCCTTTCATCCTGTCGTACAGTGCCTTTTGGAAGGTCACAAAGTTTTTGTAGTCGATGCCTCTACCGTTGCGGTCCTCGGCAACTGGATACTCCCAGTCGATGTCAATGCCATCAAAGCCATACTTGTTCATCAATTTCACAAGAGAGTCGATGAACGTTTTGGTGTTGGCTGAAGACGCAGCGATGTCGCTGAATGTCGTCTGCGTTGGGCCGGGGTCATTGAAGGCCCAGCCTCCCACAGCTATCCAGATCCGGATGTCAGGCTGAATGAGCTTAATGGCACTAATACGCTGCATGTAATCGGCCGTTTTCGAGTCACCCGCCTTGATCTCAAACGAGTTGGGATCAATGGTGGCGAAGGAAAAGATGATATCGGTGTAATAGCCGTACGGAATCTGTTCGGGCAACATCCCGTAGCAAGGACGGTTTGTCGTTGACCAGGCCTCATAGTAGCCAATGACGCGCGTGATGGGCACGCTGTCGACACTGCACAATGGCCGCTTTGAATCCGATACTGTCAGCGAGTGGCTTCGATGAGGACTGGAGGACAGTAGGATGAATTACCTTCACCGGGTTGCCCTCACAAAATTTCTCGGTAGTTCCACAGAAGCCGTACTTGCTGCAGCAGACGTTTAGAGGACACTTCTCCGACTTGCTCCATTTGGTAGAGTTCCACGTTCCCGGGTTGCAGTCCGCCTTGCGATCACATCCGCTCTGGCATCCGGCCCTGAAGTTGATATGGTCAGAAAGACATATAGAGGCAGTAGTGGGCTGGGAGATGAAGTAAACGGATGGATATAATGGTAAAAACATGAACTTACCCGCAGAAATCAGGACCAAAGCCGCAATGCCCGGCACTGGAACAGCATCCTATCGGACACAAACTCGAAGCACTGCATTCTTGTTGAAGGGATAATTGCAACTGAAATAGAAGAGCAACCAAAAGAAGGAGGAAATTGGCCATGATGACAATGGCACTGCTCAAGGCAACAAGACTTCAACCGCCCCTTCAAAATTGAACACGATATATGTGCAGGCTGAGGGCTGCCGACATGTTTTTGTATAGGACAGGACCGTTTCCGTCTAATCACAGGTAGGAAATTCCTCAAGGTAGGCTCCTCTCATGTAGCATGAAAAGAGTCTCATCACCTTGTGGGCCATAGTCCGGGCCGCTCAGTCCGCCAAGCTAGACAATTGTAGAGGTATCCAAAGCGGCTGGAATTCGTGACCCGAGATTTCGCACCTATCGGGCTTCGGATGATAGTAATGAAAGTTGGAAATGTAATCTGGTGGGCATGAATCATGCAAGGTGTTTCCAATAATGAAACTCCATGTAGCATAGAGGTACTATCGCACTTAGTCAGACTGTGGTTGTGGTAGCGATATTGATCATGAGTAAAATGTAGCCGTTGGCGACACTACTTCAACCCTGCCATCAACAGTGGCAGGCTGCGATCTTCTTCCATTCCACCCCGACATCATGTGTATCAATCACAGTGTTGCAACCTCGTTTCCATGCAGTCAGAAAGGGGCACAGCACAGTATCCCACGTGAATGCCTGGGCGACCCTCAAATCTCCGTGGCGGTATCGCCATGCCGCGACAACCACGTAACGTAACAACGTGTAGTGTAGCTATCGTGTACGTATGGGAGTTGGTACTAAAGGAAGATTGACCCTTGGTCGTTGTTGGGCACCCTTCATGATCCAGCTTGGTGCAGGCGGAAAACACACTCAAGACATTTGGAGTGTCCGCGGTCCGAGTCTGGTGCCAACTGTTTGCCGCCGTTCTCTTCCTTTTTTTCTCGTCGACCATCGTGTGTCTCAAACTACAATGTCTTCTTATTCTTGCCGTCGCACCACGGCGGCACTCCTCGCTTTGTCGTCGTCGTTTGCAACCCTCGTCGCCGGACAGTTCCAGATCACTCCCACCGGCACCTTTGCTGGTCTAGGTCTCGCTGCCACATGCGAATCTGTCCTGTATCAGAGCATCAACTGCGATGCGTATGTCCTGAATCTCGGCCAGAAGGTTTACCACGGTTCGCCGGGAAACAAGACCTTTACCGACACCATCTGTTCTACGACATGCTGGACCTCTCTGCAAACGGCGCGGAGAAGAATTGTAGGCGCCTGTGCCCAGACGCCAGACCTGTTTCCTGGATACCCCGTCCTCACCTTGATCGATCCTGTCGTCTCCGGCTGGAACGAGACCTGCCTTAAGGACTCTGATGGAGGCTACTGCAATAGTGAGTGACCTTGTCCAGATGGGCTTCTCCGACCGTTCTCATTTTTCTTTTTGAGATTGAAAACCGAGGTTCGCTAACGCGCGGCAATGTTGGCTTGAATAGCCAAGATTGAGGCGTTCCCAGAGGTCGAGAGCATTGAGGATATGCCGCAGGCACAGCTTTGCTCCTTCTGCCTGGGAGCGAAACTCCGGCTCATGCAGTCATCACCCTACTCGGCCTACGATGAGCTACATGCTGAGAGGCTCGAGTATATCAACAAGCGTTGCGGAGCAGGGACAGGCGGCAGTACGAGTCCTCTACCTCCCGCAATCCAGCCAAACGGAACCACACCGGACACCTGTGTCTCGGGGAACAAGTACACGGTGAAGAACGGCGACACGTGCAACAGCATTGCACTCACAAATGCCGTGTCCTCATCCACCCTCTACTACATCAATCCCGAGCTCTTGAACTGCAGTGCCCCTGACGTTGGCTTGCAGCTCTGTCTGCCAGACAGGTGCGAGACCACATACACAGTCAAGGAAGCCGATGACTGCGTGACCATCGCCATCCGGGCCGAAGGCAGTGCCGCCTCTTCGTGGCAGGATCTCGTGGCCTGGAACGCGGGGCTGGACGATCGGTGCAGCAACATCTGGTCCCCGTCGAGCAGCCCTCGCTACTGGGGCAACGTGATCTGCATCAGTGCTCCAGGCGGACTCCCCTCAAATCCGGGTACGGAGCCTGGCAACGGCAGCGGTACCGGCAACGGTGACATTGGCGGACCAGGTGGCTCGGGCGACGGGTATGTCGACTTCCCCGTTCCTGTGCCCACCGGAGGCACCATTGCGCAGGGGACAACGACGCTGTGTGGAGCTTGGGTGCAGGCGCAGAGTGATTCCACCTGCTCTTCGCTGATTGTCGGGACCGCCGTGTCTATTAGCCTTTGGTTGCTAGCTAATCCATCGTTGCGGGAACCGGTGAACTGTTCTAAGCGGTTGCGTGTTGGGTCATGGTATTGTCTACATCCCGTTAGGGGGTTTGACACGATGCCGGCTTCGACCTCCACAACATTGGGCGCTTCTTCAACCTCAACAGCTAACGCTAGACCTTGAAGACCTTCAGGTTGTGCTTATGACTCGTGCTCATAACTGTATGGTCATTAAACCCCCAGCCGATCGTTGTTAGACAAAACCCAAATTTATCTGGGCCGTCGGATCCTGATTCACAGGCGCCGACGGTTTCTGCTTGTTCCACAAGCTGCTCATTGCCCCGTACAGGTGAAATGGTTCCTATAAGCCCCTATGCTGCACGCACAATGTAACTGTTTTGCTCGGATTAACCACGACGCGAGTGCAAGTGTGAAGAAGCTGTGTCAGTTACTGGTCAGACACAGTTGCCGCATCCGATGAGCGGAGACTCGACATCGAGGATTCGAAGTCAAGATCGCCTCGGCAACACTGAACTCCCGCGTCTGTCGGAGATTCACTTCGTATAACTTAAAACCCTCGTCCGACTGATCTTGACTCATTTCTTTCGTTTAGCGAGAAGAGCGGTGTTGCCACCTCCAACCTGGGGCTGACTGTCAGGTGCCAGTAAAAATCGGATGTGCATCGAAGAGTGTTGTAAGTACTATGGTCTGCACACTCATTTTTATTAGCACCTGACTGTCAAGGGAGTTGCACTCGATACTCCAAAGCGGGGATGAGCAGGAATAGAAAGGAGGGTATCCTAGACGCACCGATTTCCAAGGAGTGACTCCGTCGGTGTTCTCTCTGGCATGCCCTATCCGTCAGTCCATGCCAGCGTTGCAGTCGGAAATAACATCTGGCAAGGCAATTGCGGGATGATTTAGCCTGATTCCTTACAGACTGCAGGCCCTTGAACCGCGTGAGGAGTCTCGACCCATGGTATCGATGCCTTCCAAGGTCAATAACATTACCTTGTTGTAGTAGTAGGATTCTGCACCCATTTGACTGTACCCCGAACGGTTGCATCACTACAAGAATACGAACCGCGCCACGTTCCATCCAGAGATATGTGATGGTGGCCGTATATGCAAAGATGCTGACATCTCAAGATGAGGATTCCCAACTTTTGTGCTCATCATGCCTATTTGCACCAGGTGTAGCTCTAGTCCGAGATGAGTCGGTGGCTGACTGATGACGGGTACCAGGTCGTGTCAGGATGGGAAGTATTGATGTGAATTTCCAATGTTGGGGAAAAAGTAGCTTGGATGTTGAAAGTGGAATGAGGCGGACATCCAAACTCAGTCGGGGAATACGGAGAGCCGGTACCAAATCGACTAGAGCGCCTGGCAGCACACTGGATCTATAAAATGTTCTGCCAGCATTCATGCCACGTTGGTTGGTTTTAGCAGATCAGCCGCTCTCTTGGCCCTCTTTCCCGTTCATCATGAAGTCGTTCCAGCTCTTCTTCGGTGCCCTCTTCCTCGCCCACGGAGTGTGGTCGCAGTTCACTGTCCCTCCCGACACGACAGCCGATCCCAACACGATCAAGACGTGCACGTGGTGGCACGTGGCAGAGAGCAGCGACTCGTGCGCGAGTATTGCTTCCCTCTACGGGATCACGAGCGAGCAGTTCGCGAGATGGGTGAGTTCATGCCGCTGGAAATGTTCGACGGAAACTCGGACCGTTTGAACGGTGCAGTTCCGCCTGTAGCAGGTTATGACTGACTCTTTGGTGCGGTAAAAATTAGAATCCGTCCATCGCGACGGCCTGCAAGCTCACTGTAGGCAACTCGTACTGCATCGAGAACAACTTTGGCCAGGATGACGGACCAGGGCCGTCCACGTCGTCGTCAACGCTGGTTGGCACCACCACGGTATCTGTCACAGCCTCTCCCACAACTGGAAACGGCATTTCTACGCCCACGCCTACCCAGGAGGGCATGGTGGGCAACTGTAACAAATTCCATTTTGTTCAACCAGACCAGAGTTGCACCACGATTGGGTCCACCTACGGCGTCTCGCTCACGCAGTTGGTAGCCTGGAATCCCGCCATCGGCTCCCAATGCACAGGGCTCTGGGCGAACACATATCTCTGTGTTGGTGTCGTCGGATCGAGCACCACCTTGACGACGACAACGAAGGCGGCCACCACGACGAGCAGCGGGAACGGAATTACGACTCCGACGCCGACGCAGGCGGGCATGGTGGGCAACTGCGACCGCTTCCACCTAGTCAAGTCTGGAGACCAATGTGACACCATCGCGTCGACGTACGGCATCACGCTGGCCAACTTTTATAGCTGGAACCCAGCCGTGGGGAAGAGCTGCGAATCGCTGTGGCTCGATACGTATGTGTGTGTGCGGACGATTGGGTTCGTGCCGCCCAAGACAACGACAACGACGGCGACCACCAGAAAGACGACTACCACGACTGCGGGAGGTGTTGCAACGCCGACCCCGACCCAGCCCGGCATGGTCAGTGGCTGCAAAAAGTTTCACAAGGGTGAGTTTGTCTCTTTTTATGTCTGTGATCATGTCGCTTGGCCGTTGTTGCTAACCAAGGGGACGTGTAAACAGTTGCCTCGGGAGATCAATGCGACACCATCGCAACGCGGTATGGCATCTCGCTGGCCAACTTTTACAGCTGGAATCCGGCTGTGGGGAGCAGTTGCAAAAGCCTCTGGCTGGATTACTATGTCTGCGTTGGTCGTTAGTCGATGATACGACGGCTACCTCTTCTCCGTGTGCCTCTACTTACCTTGGCTGCATTGTTTAATGTACAAGTTCCCTGATGAAATAGCGGGCAGGGGCTGTCGTAGACAAGTAGAAATCCACCAGCTTCATTGACACGACGCGCCATGTCGGCCTATGTGTGACTGTAGTCGTAGGTAGGTACCTCTAGGTATGCGTGTATGCCTACGTCTGTCTTGAGATTGTTATTGTCTAGGCACGGCGCAGGTACATTGCTCAAGTGGTAGGAGGATCGATACCCAACTGGCAAAAAAAAAAACAAGCCATGTCCATATGGAGTCACCATTTGACAATGAATGGAAAACACTCATCACGCAAAGGCATCAAAGGAGGGTAAAAGCCTGGGTGCTGGAACGACTTCCAGGAGGGTTGTTTCGGTGGGCAAGGTGCTGGTTGATTGAAAGAGCTTAGTGTAGAGGAGAGATCATAAGAAATCAGGTCAAAAATAACTACGCCCCAATGCTAGGCGCGCAATGCACCTTCCCAAGGGCTCAACGTAGCGGATGTCAAACGTTGTAAGAGAAATGGAAGGAGCAAGGACATGGAAAATGGGAGGAGAAGGCAGAAAATCAGGCAGTGGGGCAGAACTGGAGAGGAAGGAACGTAGTTAAGAGTGTGAAACAGAGGAAACCAAACTGGGGCTTGAATTGGTGATTGATTGGCTTCCAGAACTAAAGAGGAGGAAGCCCGGAAGGCCCAGCTAAATACCCGAAGAATGAAAACTTTGGTGGGGTGCAATTTTGAGTGGAGATAGAAACAACCTAATCCGAAATGCGATGGACCTCTATCGCCTAATTATAAGAAACTCGAAGTGTACTCTAGCTACTTTCTAGATTAACTCTGGATTTCGAATTTTAATTATTAAACCCTAATCCCTTCGTGTCGGTATAATCTTATTAATATCGTTCTTCTTAAATAATTCTTCTCAAAGTATATCGCTATCTTTTAATACTTCCAAATTCGTTAATTTTCTCGATTTGTACGGGTAGGGAGGGAAACTCTTAGCTAGGTACCGTAGTAGTTAAGAACTTTATCGAAAAAAACTTTAGAGGAGGGGGGACTCTTCTTCTTAAGTAGAGAAATAGGAAATTATTTCGACGTTAGATAGTAATAATAATTTTTTCTTAGAACGTGCTTTAAATAGTAATTTGGAAGTTTCAACGTAAATATTGTAAAGGTCGGCGCAACGAGGATAGAATTTATCACTTATTCGGTATTATCTACTATAAAATAGAAGAAACTAAATTGGGGCTTGAACTAGTAATTAATTAGCTTCCAGAATTAAAGAGGAGGAAGCCTAGAAGGCCCAACTAAATACCCGAAGAATGAAAACTTTGGTAGGGTGCAATTTTGAGTGGAGACAAGTGGGGCATCACTTTACTGCTGTGTATATATCCAGGGAAGCTATCTAACTTCATGCAAGTTTAGCTGGGTTTCTATTAGTTACGGCCCGGGTTTCCGGCTTTAGGTATATAAGGGCCAGGTGTAAGCTACGGCTCCAACTACTTTTGCGATCCAATCCCGCCCCCCTGAGACTTACTTTTCCTAATTACGTGAGAGTTTGGGAAAAGTAGTTATAGTTACTGAGATTTGGGAGCTCCCCTCTCCCCGATTCTCCTCTTTTCTAATTAAACCAAATTGAGCATTCGGGTTTTCTAGTATTTTATAGTGGATAATATCACCGGATCGTAGTAAAGTCTCAACCTTTACTACTGGTCATTCTTTTTCAATTTATTTCAATCTTTTTCAATCTTTTTAAACGATTCTAATTATTTGCCTAAAGCGGCCAATCATTCTAATTAGTAATAAGAAAATTAGCGATTTAGTAAGCATTAGGCGTTTAGAATATATATATACGATATTAAATCAATATTGAGGAATTATTTTTATACCCCTTTAGTATATCGAATTTAGTTCCAGTCTATTCCAAACCTACCCTAAATAAATTACTTTATTAATTTTCGTTTTATCTTTTTAATATTGGACGGAAGACCGATAGCCTTCTTCCTACCTTTTCCCCGCTAATTATTTAATTTTCTTCCCGCTAATTATTTAGTTTTCTTCCTATTATATAATCTAGGGTTACGAAAGTTTTATACCTTTTTTTTCGAAGGTACTTTTAAACTAATTTTAGGGGTTTAATTTAGGTCTAATAAATCTATATATTCTAATATTTATAAATTTAGCGATTTTTAATTATTTTTATACTTATAACTATTTCTATACTTGTAAACTTAGGATTTCAGTAAATATACCCCGATAAGCAATTTAATAATAAGTAATACCACTATATTTATAGTATATTTTAATACGTTTAATACCCTACCCTTCCTTATATTTTATATATTCGTCATTAGGGCATACTAAAAACTCAGTATTTTTCCCTCTTTTTTTCTGTTCAAAGTATATAGAATTTTTTTTTTTTTAACGCTAGGGCAAGAAACCCCGTACTACTTTTATTCTTATAAGCCCCGTACAATTTTTATTTCTATAAGCATTTTCCTTCCACTCTAAGAATTATAAAGCAACTAATTATATTCCCTATTAATCTTATTTCTAATTATATTACTAAATTAGAATATATAAATAATAATAATAAGAAGATAGAATATTTTTCTATTATTTCAATTTTTCCAAAAAATTAGGAAATCTTCCTACAATTAAACTCTTTCATTTCGCTGATAATTTAAAGAGACGAATAAAAAATCTTTTTAAAATCGGGATTTTTATTTTTATAATATACATTAATAGATTTTCCGTTAAGTTTAGAATATTTCGACTATTTATTACTTTACGAAAAATTAGATGTAACCGGTATAAACTAATACGATTTTAATTAATATAATGTTAACGTGTGGCTAGTACTGTGCCTTGTAACTACCTTGTACTATCTTGTAGTATAGAAGGCTAGTTGAACTATTCCTTCTACGGAATCAGTTGACTCAGTCCCCACAGAATGTACTAGAATACAAGAGGTTTTGCCACTGTATTCTAGAGTCTTATAACTTAGCTAGCATTTCTTCCAGACTGATTTGTCATCACAGGATTCAACAGAAGCTTCTAGATGCTTAGTGTCCATGTATATAGAGACCTCTCCTCTCCTTCAGTTCGTCACTCCTTAAGCAAGCAAGCACAAGTCAAGCAATACAATATAGTCTTTTCTCACAGTGCAGAGTCCACTGTAATCTTCTGTCTTGAGAGCAGAGTCCTCTCTAAGACCTCTTTTACAACATCCTTTTATTGTACTTGCAACTACGCTGCTTCCTTCAGCATTGCTGTCGTACTTCCTACCGCTTCCGCTCCGCTCTGCTACAAGTGCATAGTTCACTGTAGCAACCTTGTACTGGTGCTATCATTATAGGCCAGTCAGGGCACCGCAGGAAACATATAATTTTATTAGAAAAACGTAGCTATTTTCGGATATGGAATTAGAATAAGCGGAATATTAATTCCTTTTAAATACTACTATAATTATTAATTAAGAGAACCTAACCGACTTTCCCCTACTAAACGGAATAGCTATTAGAGTTGTAACGCCGATATTATTTAATATTCGTTTTACTATATTAAAATCTTTGTAGCTAATATGTTTAAATTGCTATAAGGAACGCGCCGGGAATTACTTAAAGAATTTAGAAGTTAATTTACTATTTTATAATATTATTAACGACGTTTCTAAATTTGTTCTTCAGAAATCTCAATTTAAAAAGGGTTTTAAAGGAAATGTAAAAATTTAATAGAATAACGATATTAACGAACTTAATAAGGTTATAAAAAATTTTACTTATATTACTTTTAAAATTTATTTCCTTAACTGCCTATTATTGGATTTTATAATTGTTAACGAATTTCTAAATATTTAGAGGAAAGAAGAAGAGAACGTCGACGTTTATTTTAAAAGAATGGAGAAATTTTATTTGAAGGTTAGAATTCAAATACTAATTATATATAATATCTTTGGAAAAAAGATTATTAGAAGCGTAGTCTGTAATAGTATATACGAAGAAATTAATAAAGTATTCCGATTTTGTATTAAAGACCGGCTCTTAAATATATATTACCTCACTTTTAATAATAGAAGTAAATAAACCTTTAATATTATATTCGCTTAAATCAAATAAACTTTCAAATTTTATATAATTTCATAAAATAGATCTATAATAGACTTTTCGAATGAAAACAATAAGGATTACGTATGTAAAAGCAATATAAAGTTTCTTATTAAAAAATTAAAGAACATTTTCGAAGTCAGTAAATAAATTATAAATAATATTGTATTTTCGTTAATTTTAGTCCTATATTAGGCTTAAATTCACTTTATTATAGCTTATAATATAAACGTTAATTAAACTAATAATAGGAATAATAATAATAGTAAGCCTTGTAATAGTTATGGCAATTAGGCGGATAAATTATACTTCTATAATAATTATAGGTTTATTAAAAGAGATTATTACGATTAGTAATATCCCTAATTGCAAACGTTAAATTAAGAGAGGCGTAATAATATCGCGAAAAGAAGAGTTTAGAATATTTAATATTATAAAAATTAGTTTAGCGGAATTAATAATTAATATAGTTAGGGTAATAGTTAATAAAGTAGTAACTTAAACTACTAGTAAATATAGAATTAATAGTAAATTTAAAATAATAATTACAACCAAAGCGTATAATCTCCTTAAAGTATTTAGCCCTAAGCTTAAAATAATAAAATTACGCAACGGATAATATAATTCTTGTAGAGGGTATTTAATAATAAAATAAAAAGTATTATAGGATAATTCCGTACTTTATAAGTTAAAGTGCTAAATAATATTATTAATTATGATACGAATAAAGAATATAAACTATATACTTCCGAAGAGATACGCTTTAAGAAGATTACTAAAAGCGCCGAATAATTATTATAAAAACGTAAAAAGGTAAAGAATCTTCAACTAGAAAACTCTAAATTAAAGAAGGA